CAAAGGCTAACTGTAATTGCGATTTTTATTATTTTATTATGTGAGGAGGGTGCCAACATACTGAGTAGAGGCTGCTGACATATTCTAATCAACTGGTTTAAGGTTTAGATATGGCCTCTGCTCTGCCTTTTGCTGAACTGGTTACCAAGAAGAGAGCTTAGCAAATTCCCTTACCAATTAAATTCCTCCAGTAGGGAAGATGGTGAGGTGTGGCAAGAAGAACTGAGATGGGGAAAAGAAAATACAGTGCTCGATAGGGTGTGTGTTTAAATGCGAGTTTTATTAGTGTTTATTTTATTTATTTCTGGAATCTAGTTACTTAAACTTTCTGTGGGAGTCACCCCTGCTGATCCAGGCTGATTTGAATGTTTTGTTAGCTATTATGTGCTGGAAAACACAGGCAGCTAGGGTCACTACAGGTTTACTTTTATTTGGGAGGTCATATTAAATGGAGTGCTAGGATGTTGTCCTCTCTCCAGAACTCTCCCCAGAGGCATTCAGACTTAATTTTCAGGTCACTTTCCAAGGGCCAGTATGGCATAGTGTTTGGAGCATTGGACTATGACTCTGGAAACCAGGGCTCCATTCCCTTTTTGGTCATGGAAATTCACTGGGTGACCTTGGCTGAACCACACACTCTCAGCCCCAGAAAAACCCATGATAGGTTCACCTTAGGGTTGCCATAAGTCAGAAACCTCTTGAAGGCACACAATAACAACAATGCCACTTTCTCAGGTCTTCACAAAGAGTTGCCTAGAAAACATTTTCCCAGCCAGCTCTTTAGTGACTATTGTAATCATAGTTGAAAATTCATACAAGGGAAATATGCAGAATTACAAAAATTCCACACCTCTGCAAAATCATTGGTATCAAACTAGATGAGATGAGGGAGATATATGGTCAAATGTTCTTGTCTTTCCATTTATTTAAAAACAGTTATGAGGAATGAGTACAAGGGCAAAAATGAATCTGTTTTAAACTTTCCCCCACACAGCTGTTTCTGCTAAAGGTATGTGTGGGAGGGGGCATGTTAGAAAGTTTGATCATGTATCTCTTGCATATAATTTAATTTAATCCTTAATTACTGACCCACTCTCATGATTTAGGAAGGGAAAGAGTATACAATGGGCCCTCCACACTCACTGGGGGTAGGGATGCAGTACACCATGAAAGTAGAAAAATGCAAATAAAAAAACTAATTTTTTAAATCTGAAAAACACCTCTCTGGGAATCTCTAGGTCCTTCAGTGCAACTCTGTGGTCAACATCCACTGGAGGACCTATAAATACTTAGAAAAGTGTTCTCTCTAGGAATTTCTAGGTCCTCTAGAGCAACTTCAGGTGAAACTTGAAGTTATGCTGAAGGACGGGCACTTAACCACTGTGCCACCATTATCATAGGAAAAAGTAATGCTTGTTGGTAGCCCCTGATAAATAGTTAAATGAAAAGAATTCACTTCATAGGGACTGAAACAATTTGTGTTAGAAGAAAATGTGAACACATTATCTGTAGTATCAGATTTATCTTCCACTACAGTTGCTAGAGCCACTCATGATTGATTGGGTTGCAGCAATGATAAAATAACTGCTTTGATGAATTCCAACAGGTAGCAAAACACTACTAGAATGTAGAGTAGTTCATTGTTACTTAAGTACTGGACAGTCATGTTTGGGGGGGAAGCAGATGGCTAAAAGGGCTGTCTTGGGGGCAAGGAAGGGGAGGGGCAGCTGCATGGTGGGTGTCCCAACCCCTTCCTGAAGTCATCGTTGGAGTGCCGGCCCCTCCGCATGGCCGGGGCTTCGACGATGACTTCCCGCTGCAGCGTTCGCACACGCTGTGCCGGAAGTGTCGCCGAAGGTGCGCTGCCAGCCTTTTGCGGCGCACCCAGCAACTTATGGAAGGAGCGCTATTTTAGCGCTCCTTCCAGGGGTGGCGAAGCTGCACCGTGGGGCCGAGGTGTGGGGATACCTCGGCCCCGCGGCGCAACTTCCTGGGGCGGCCCACGGCCACCCGTCTGTTGACAGAAGTGGTTAGACATCTTTGAAGTAATATTATTGAGACTAGGAGTCAGATAAATATTTACTATTATGCATTTCCTGGCTGAAAATGTGTTTCTCAATGCTTGGAAAGCCAGTTTGAGAAGAATATCAAAGTGGTGTGCTTTTTTTCCCCCCTTTCTTTCTTGCTTGCTTTTATTTTTGCAGTTTTCACCTGGTATTTGCAGATTTTGAAGTTTCTGAGGAAATTTTTTTTTGTGTCTTTGTGCAAGATTGCTGGTTGTTTGTGCAAATAACAGCAGTTTTACACAGAAAGACACAAGTGGCTATCTGGAAACAGTATCCTTGTGTGAAAAGTGTGTTTTTTCACACACACCCCATCCAAATTTTAACACATACCCCAAATTTGTATTTTTGTGCAGAACAATTTCTTAAAAGATGTGGGAAAACCTGGCAAGAATTTCCAAAATAATAATTTTCTCTTACAGTGGGGAGAAGACTGCAGAAATTATTCATCTTTGCATATGAGAATAAAATAGTCAAATATGTATATTCCTAACTGAGACTGACTATAATTCTTTGTTAAAATCACAATGGAAAAAGTCGAGATAAAAGAAACCTGATTTCAGTTAACTTTAATGGGGAAAGTTGTTAAAAACAAGTATAGATTGTTATAAAGATTTTTTAATATGGACACTGTGGCGAATCCTCTTGCCACCTTTCACCTTAGAACTGACTTTCAGATGGCAGTCCTGGGAGGGGGTTGTTGTTATCCCACCCCAAAAGCTTTAAAAGGTTAATAATAATAATAATAATAATAATAATAATAATAATAATAATAATATATTATAGTATAATAGTATAGTAATGCTACAGTAGTGCGGTTTGGTTTGAAAACATAGACCGAGCAATTTTTAAATGAGAACAAAAGTTTATTTTAGAACAGAATGTAATAGATATAACTTATATCAAAGCTTGTTAATATAGTTACATATTAGCAATGTTTGTTTCCATTCCCTTTTAATATTTCAGCCACACCGACTAACAATATCCCTCAGAATTTAACACAACAGCAACTCCCTTCCTTAGAGTTCTGTATGTGTCCCAAGTCCCTCCCATCTGGACTCCAACTAATAAAATTTACAATTCCCTCAGAATGCCCAAAAATGCAGCTCTTCTCTCTCTGGCTTAACTCCTCCAACTGTCAGCTTAAAATATTTTTTTTCAAGTGCTCCCAGCTTGAATTCTATTGGTTGGCCCTCACCTGCCTCCTGATTGGCCATCTGGACATTTTAT